ACCTATATATAGTTTGCTAGATATAGAAATTTGCTGTCTGTTTTTATTTTATTTTATTGTGAAGCAAGTATCTCTTAAGTGGCCAGGTTTATCATATTGTTACGACAGCGAAAGTCATGTGACGCTGGTAACACGTCATCAGTTTCTAGATGGATCATGACTTTTCCTGGCAACTCTAGTCTTTTCCAGGCGCCCTCTATTTTAGTATATAAGTCCTGCAAATAAAGCGGAGATATAATTGCAGAGAGATAGATATCGAGACAGATAATTGAGTCAAGCGAGCAGTAGTGACCGTAAGTAAAGTGCGTGAATCGTTGTGAATTATAGCGTGTGTTTAAGTTAAACTGACTGTGGAAATTCTGTGTATTGCAAAGTTGTATTGAGAAAGAATAAACTAGTTTTATTTAAGAAAGGACTTGTATCGCTGAAGTTCCTCGGGAAGAATTTATACCGGAAATTAACAAACAAGCAGATACGTAACAATATCTATAACAGTTACCTATTTTTGGCATTCTTTAGGAGGCCTTATTCCCTACAAACTTTTGTCTGTAGTTCCTGGCCATATTTTCCTTCAAGTTACACTTGAAAGATCTGTTACCTTTTGCATTACTTCCTCTGCTCCATTTAACTAGTAATCTAACTGGTCCTTTAAGTTCTTCTAAACTGTTGTCAGTGAAATTTGATGTTTCAAGATGGTGTCTTTAGTTGTTTTTTGTAACCATAATGGATTATAGTTCCATTCCCAACTTCAGAGCATTCTTTAAGGATGTACACCTACTTTGCTTCTGCCTAACTGTCATATCCTCATCTGTAGTGCCCTCTATAAATTGGTTATGTGCCAATGAATCTATCATTTGTTGAGGATCTTCTTGGTAAGATAATTGGGCAATTCTTTTAAAATCTTTTGAAAGTTCAGTGAAGGTCACTTCTTTCCTCCATACCATTTTCTGAAACTTTGCTCTAGATACTTCTTTGTTGTACAACAAGTCTGAACTTCTTGGATAAGGTGGCTATCAATGCTTAATAGCTGTTCAGTTGTTATCTGGAAAGTTGCTCAATGTTGTCAAAGCTGATAGTTTTAAATGGCAGCAAGATGAATGGCTTGTTGTTCACTATTCCAACCATTTGCTGTGAAAATTATTTCAAACTGAGCTTGTTATAACTCCCATGGTACCTGTCCACCATAGTCCACTGGTTTTCCTGTTGACTAATGTTGAAATGGTCAGCCAAATTCTGGTACTGGATTTGATAATGTCATTACTGGAGTAGTCCAGGAAAGTTTCTCATGAACAGGTGGTGTACTACAAGTGGTAACATAATATATAACATAACATTTTGGGACAACATGGGACTTATTGGTCCATCTCAGCTGTTCCATCCTCAAAACTAAATGAAAATGATTGAAAAAATAAAATTTAAAGCCAGCCCTTTTCATTCATATAGTTATCAAGCTTTTTCTTAAACTCACTTAAATATACTTCTTCTACAACATCTGAAGGCAACCCATTAGCTGAAGATGACTCCTACCTTGCCAAAATTTATATTTGTGTCCTACTATTCTCATCGTTAAATATAAAAAAGATGATACATCAACACTTTCAATTCCTTTACAATCTGAAACACCTCAATCAGATCCCCCCTAACTCTTTTTTTTTCAAGAGAAAACAATTAAATACCAAATAAGTTCTTCTGTTCCATATTTTGTAGCAGATTGTATTCCATGCTGGTGCAGGAAGAGCTTTAACTGGCTTAATTTTGTTCTTCTGTTCCATATTTTGTGGCAGATTGTATTCCATGCTGGTGCAGGAAGAGCTTTAACTGGCTTAATTTTGTTCTTCTGTTCCATATTTTGTAGCAGATTGTATTCCATGCTGGTGCAGGAAGAGCTTTAACTGGCTTAATTTTGTTCTTCTGTTCCATATTTTGTAGCAGATTGTATTCCATGCTGGTGCAGGAAGAGATTTAACTGGCTTAATTTTTACATTTTAGAATTCATTTTTCAAGTGTCTTATTCTGTCACTAACGTTTTTTTTACCTCAATAATGCTCTTTTCTACCTAATTGGTGTCTTTTTTGTATATCTTCAATTTTATCATCACAGCTTTCTGTACTTGAATATCCTTCTGTATATCTTCAAACTTGCCATTATAATCTCTTTTGAAAATCTTAAATAGCTTCTTCAGTCAGATTTATTTTTTAAACAGTAGGTTTCTCTCTTTTAACTCCACTCTTGAATTCTTCTAATTTTTTGTCCTGTTTTTCCTAGTTTTCTTTAAATTTTCTGTCTCGTTCCTCCTGATCATTGCTTAATAATTTCATGTCTCAATTAATGCTTGAATCTCACTACTTGAGAATGTTTAAGGTTTTTGAAGCCAACATTCTCTAATTATTCTTGGTGCTTTGATTATCATAATTTATAAGTTATTCCTATTTCAAATTACACTAATATTTCATTGTGATTTCCATTATTTGATAAAAATTTAACTAAATCTGAGGTTTGCCAAAAAAAAAACACAAAACTTTTTCCTAAGGGGTTAAATAACTTAAGTAACACATTCACTGCAATAATAATAATAGGTGTTTTTTTTTAGTAAGTGAAATTTGAAAGGTTTTTCAAATAATTGCAATTTCATGTCAAATACTTTACAAAAAGAGTATTGTTAATACTGAGAACTAAGTTTGTTAGAATATGACTAGAAACATTTCTTTTTATGAGTAGTTAACATGTATTAAATATGAATTTAATAAAAGACCTAATACACTTCATAGGTTTCATCTTGAGACAGTATAAACTGCTACCTACATACTTTAAGAATATTTTCTGTTTTACCAGTGGTTTGGACGTTGAATCTTGTGAACACGTACATTCTTTAGCCAGGGGATTAAGTTCAACTGAGGCGCTTCTAAGACTTCAACTTTATGGGAAGAATTCTATCTTGGTGGAAGTTAAACCAATATTCAAGTTGATTTTCCAAGAAGTAAGAAACCTGTTATTCTAGAAGAATGATGTTTTATTGAAAGTTGTTCTTCCAGCTCTTACTTTTGTCTCTTCTGTTTTTGAATATATATAATTATGTGGAAAGACAATAAACATAAATGGTCCCTATCATTTTTTGCTTCTTGTATTGTGTAATTTCCTCTTTATGTGGTATAATAATACTTTTTTCATACTTTTGTCATGAGCAAAATTTCTAATTTTGAAGTTGTTTGTCTCTTATATATACTTATTTCTATAGATTAGGTGGCACTATTATAATATAGGATATTTAAAACTATAAGTTCAAAATATGTAATATTTTACTTAAAGCTACAGATGTTTTGATATAAGAATTTTTTAAGTATTCACATCATCACAAACTACAGTAACTTGTATTTGAAGTGTGGAATGGAATATGAACCCAAGTTGTTCTTAAAGGAAAAATGGAAATTTTGTTGACCTGACACATGAAAATTACTATTCTAATACAGTTAATATATTTATAATCAGCACTTATATTTCAAGTAACATATATGTAAATAACAAGTTTGTAAATTATGAACAAGAGCTTATCTTGCTAAATCTTTTAATTTTTCTATTTTACAACTATGTCTTTTTCTCATTTAAAATGTTGTAATAAAAGTAGCATATTAGTTCTGACTTGTTCTTATTAAAATGGTTTTAATAAATCAGTTCTGTTTTGTTCTCATTAAAAACATCATAATAAAGCTGGTGTCAGTTCTGTTTTGTTCCCAATAATAACATCATACCCATGCTGGCATCAATTCTGTTTTGTTCTCATTAAAAACATTCTAATGATGTTGTTATCAGTTCTGTTTTATTCTGATTAAACATGATAACAAAGCTGGTGTCAGTTCTGTTTTGTTCTCATTAAAAACATTCTAACGATGTTGTTATCAGTTCTGTTTTATTATGATTAAACATCATAACAAAGCTGGTGTCAGTTCTGTTTTGCTATCATTAAATAAAAGTAGTTTTTACTGAAGACTAGTCTGGGCTTCTAAGTAATACAATTGGTAGGGCACTGGCCCTGTAATTGTTTTTAACCATAATGATTGGTTGATAGGTATAATGAATAATACTAGCAATGTTTTTTTTTTTTTTGTAAATCAAAATAGCATCCACCATAACTTTTAAGCTACTTTATTTGGATGTACTTACACAACTAGTATTGTTATTATATACTGTCAGTTCAATATATGTATATATTATATATAGAACCTTATTATTTATGTTTTATTTCAGATTGGTAGTCCATTCTACATGTATCAGATATTTATTGTTATTGTTTGGATGGTTCAAGTTTACTACCAGTTTTCTGTGTGTGTTGTTCTTCTGTCTACTATCTCAATCACTGCCACTGTATGGGAAACCAGGAAGGTAAGGGTTTGTTATAACTACTACTGTGCTTAAAAACAGGGAGAGTGTTTCTAAAATTGGTATTTCTTTGTTAAATCCACATTACATCAGTACTTTTGTGTCAAATCCATATGACATCAGTATCTGGAGAGTAGGAAGCTAGACATCAAATTTTGGCATTATCACAATTAGGCACTAAATATATTAATTCAAAATAAAGCATAGAGCATTGAAAATATCAATTTTTAAACAGTACTAGATCTTATATTAGAAAAGAATGCTATTTTTAAACTACTTAAACAAGAAATAAAATCAGTAATTGTTCATATACATTACTTCAAGTGAAAATAAGAATGTTACCTATATACACAGTAAACAAAAAAGTATAAGCTTTAGAATATTAAAGTGACAACTTTAAAAATGTATACTATTTTTGTCACTTGATACAAAAGTAAGTTAATAAATGTAACAAAATTGTTAAACGGCATAAAACTTTATTAACACTCACACTATTTTCCTCTAGCTGTAACAGCCAGACATACCAGGCAGATGTATTAAACAGAAGGAATATTTTAAGTCATTCCAAAAATTAACAACACATTCCTTAGCTTCTTTAACAAAGTTCCATAAAACTGAAATATTTCAATTATTGCAGTAAAGTAAAACGTAGGCCTAGCTATCAATTAAACTAGCCTACAGGTAATTACCACTTCTTTAGATTATTTTCAACCTAACCAAACTCTTAACACACAAACAAGCTATAACACTGCCATTACACATGACTAAAACTTGTATAGAATAACTAACTGTTCATTGGTAGATCATTATTTAAAATAGAAAATGAAGATACATTTTAACCTAAGTTTTGTGCACTTGATAATGATTGCACCAGCAATTGAAACATTGTGCAAATAAACAAAAAAATCAGCAAAAACTATGAAACTGTGGTTTCTTATAATAATTAGTAGCAATTAGAAAACTCAAAAATTAAATCTATCACACTAGTCAGTTGTTTGGTTGAAATTACAAGCAGTGTTACAAACTTTAGGCTTAGCCTCAACAAATGCATATTTTTTTTAATGTAGAGGACACCAAATAAAACTTTCATAAATAATATTTTTCTTTATTATATGGAGTGAATTTTAATACCTCACTGTAAAGTTTAACAAGTACATTAAACAATAATATTTAAGCATATCTTATAACTAAAACAGAAAATTGCACAAAACTTACAAAATCATTTTAAGACCTGGTGATATATATCAAACATGACATCACGTTTCCATCCTCCACAACAGATTAAATGAATTATCTGTTGAATACATTAACTCCAGGATTTATCTACCATTGACATTTATGTAACTGGGTTTTAAAACCCCAAAAGTCCAATGATTTTAGTATTGTTAGAGGTTTCTCTTATTATCATTAATTTTGTTGACAGTAAATAGTTATTAGTAAATGAGAATAAGATGGTTCAGTAATTTTCATGTTTTGCATAAGAAACATTTGTATTAATTTTTAAAATCTAAATGTTTTTTTTTCTTGTTTATTTGCTGTCAGGCACAAAACTTCACATTGGGCTACCAGTTCTCTGCTCATTGCAGGTATTGAAACCCAATGTTTTGTGATAAAAGCTTTCAGACTTGTTGCTGGACCACTGGAGGGCTTAAATTAATCTTTTAATGTGCTGTTTAATGTAAAACTTTTCTTGTTAAGAAAAAGTAATGTTTATATATTTCCAGCAAAGTAAAGCTCTGAGAAATGCTGTTCATTCTCATTCTGAAGTGACTGTTTTGAGAGATGGATATGGTAAGTTATAATAACATATATATTTATGTAAATACTTTTTATTTACTTTCCATCCAACTGAAACATGTATATCTTTTTTTTCTAATGATATGTAATGTGTGTCTGAGGGCTTTTTTGTACAATAATACACAAGATTCATAACTTTAATATTTCTTTTTTACACAAGTAAAACAAGCTTAAAATTAGTGTATATTGAAATTACCTTGAAAGTATATAAAGAAAGATGTATTCAAGCATTATATGAAATATAAAACTGTCAGTATTTTTCAAACCATGATATTATACCCAGAAATACAGAAGTCATCACATGAACTGGTTCCTGGTGACGTTATTTTTCTACCTCAACACCAATGTGTCATGGAGTGCGATGCCATACTTTTGAGTGGAACTTGTGTTGTGAGTGAAAGCATGTTAACAGGTACAATAAATACTTTCCTAACATGTCGTTGTTTTATTGATAATTTTCACGGTTGTTAATATTTATAAAATAGAAAAATTTATTTTGGTGCTTAAAAATATATATGTGAGTAAATTCAAAGATAAGTAAAATCATATTGATATAATCACAGCTCTGATTGACCTTTTAGAACCTTGTAGGTAAATGTATTTTATTGTTTATGAATACATAATCTCAGATGGATTAGGATCTGTTGTTGAAAACCAGAAAAAATATATATATATATGTGTGTGACTACTAAATTAAGAGGTTTAGTAATTTGTATTAAAATGATTTTGAAATCTCATCATGTCATTACAATCCATATTGCCATGTCCAGTCATGCTGTATCTAACAACTGTGCATCTTTAAATTAACATAGAGGTTTAGTAATTTGTATTAAAATGATTTTGAAATCTCATCATGTCATTACAATCCATATTGCCATGTCCAGTCATGCTGTATCTAACAACTGTGCATCTTTAGAGCCCTGCAACATACTTTTTGTTAAAAAATTATCCTTCATAAGGTTGTCACATCCAAAACATACCCCTGCACTGTGTTTGCTTTCCATAAGCCATTTAATGTATCTAGATAATGGTTTCCCAGATCTCATATCAACAACCAAATCATACAGAAACACATAGGCACAGCATCCAACAACTTGATTGTTATATCATAGTATGCTTTATTCTCCAGCTGCTTGAGGTATGAGTCCTGTGAATAAGTATTTGTGGAAGCAGCTTTTGTACCCATGCCTTGTACATATCACACAGGGATATATATTATTCTTCATTATTTGGTGCACTGTTATGTGGGACATGTGAAAGGTTTTTCTAGTCTCCTATGTCTTCATATTGGATTCTCATCTGTTACAAGATGTCACTCTTTGCATCATTACCACAACTCAGGTGTGACTGGTTGCAGTTCTATTTGTAGATGGGCCTGATGTCCCAAGTTGATGCATATTCCATTGTTTTACAATGCCATAAAGTGCTAGGGATATCTTCATCTTGAAAATTCTAAATCACCAATCTAGACACATATTTATGATCTGAATGTATGAATATTTTGCATTTGAAAGGGCTCTTACATATCATTCCACAAACTGATAAGTTTTCAGTGACATTTCTCTAATTAAGTAACACCAAACAGTTTTAAAATGTACTTCTTATAAATGTCATTCCATCATGACTTTATATTGGCTGTGGTTTTCATATGACATGCTAATTTGTGTATTCAAAACTGTTTTAATATAACATATTCAGCCCTATTAAATTAGCTGTTGTGTAGGCATAGCAATCTGTTAGTAGTAATGTTTGCATGAAACTCCTACTAAATGTCATTCATTAAACACACTCCAAGACCAATGTGCAAAAATCATTTTGTTGTATTAATATTTTATTATGAAAATATTTTTTTATATTGCATTTCACTACTTACCTCTTAAATAATTAGTTAAAGATAAGTTTCAAGAAGATGTAAAGGAATGAAAGATGTATCTGAATTGTCTAGTTTTGAATCAGTTAATAAGAAATAGTAGAAATCTTAGCTGAAATGTCAAATTTTGGGCCATGTTTTTTAAAGATATGAGAAGTTCAAGCTGATTGTTAACTTTAGGGTCAGTTTTGTAAAGATATAAAGAAACAGAAGAGCTGTCTGAATTGTAACATTTTAGGCCAGTAAGATTAGAGCTACCATCATGACATAAAAGAACTAGACTATTTAATTCAAACTTCTAGAAGTAAGAGGTAAATTATATTAAAGTTAGACATATAACAAGGATGACTTATGAATAAACTCCAATCATAAATATATGGGTTAACTTGCTTCTAGAAGTAAGAGGTATTCAAGTTAACCGATATATTTATGATTGGAGTTTATTCATAAGTCACCCTTGTTATATGTCTAACTTTAATATAATACCTCTTACTTCTAGAAGATTCAAGTTAACCCATATATTTATGATTGGAGTTTATTTATAAGTCATCTTTGTTATATGTCTAACTTTAATATAATACCTCTTACTTCTAGAAGATTCAAATTAACCCATATATTTATGATTGGAGTTTATTTATAAGTCATCCTTGTTATATATCTAACTTTAATATAATACCTCTTATTTCTAGTTTATTCATAACATCATATTTTATACCTTTAATTTTATACCATGATTTAATTGTATGGCACTAATATTTGTTATGAAACAATAATGACTGTCATATCACAGAAATACTTCTTATGCATTTCAGTTTTTTTTGTTTCTAAAAATGATCACCATGATTTTAAGAATGTTGTTTAAATATTGGTTTATGATTTCCATTCTATTGAGTAATAAGTTAACTATTTCTGTTTATCAGGAGAAAGTACACCCATTACTAAAGTTCCTATAGCTCAAGACTCCAACCATCCATACAGTCCTCTTTCTAACAAGAGAAGTACAATATTTTGTGGGACAGAAATTTTACACTCCTGCTCAAGTGAAAGCTCTGCAGTTAAGGCTCTTGTGTACAGGACAGGTACAAATGGTTTATAATTTATTTTTCAAATGTAGATAATGTCAGCTATTTGCATAAAGATGCAAGAACATGTGAATCATGTAAGCTTCTGATAGTCACATTATTTACATCAAAATGGTTTAGTTATGTGCATGGAAAATAATTTCATTTTTAAACAGAACATTTATACTTTAGATTACAGCAACAACAACACTCCAGGTATTTTTTTTTTAGATAACAGAATTAACAAATTTCCACATAATTTTTATAAACACAAAATTTTTTCTTTAGATAAAGTAATACTAACTAAACTGCAGGCAATCTTTTTTACCCCGAACATTCTTCTAGTTACTCCAGATAATTCTTTATACCTACATTCTTACTTTATATTACCTCAGTAATGGTACTCTAGATAATTACATTGTAATCTGAAGAAAAAAGTTAGATATAACACTAATAGCACTCCAGACACTCCTTTTATACTTAGCATTATTTCTTTAGGCTACATCACTAACAACATTCCAGAAAGTCCTTTTACACCTTATATTCTTTTTTTAAATATTACAAAACTAATGACAGTCCATACAGTTACTTTCTTCTTTTAGACACGTCAATAGTAACAACACTCCAGATATTCCTTTCACAGTCTACTTTCTTCTTTTAGACACGTCAATAGTAACAACACTCCAGATATTCCTTTCACAGTCTACTTTCTTCTTTTAGACACATCAGTAGTAACAACACTCCAGATATTCCTTTCACAGTCTACTTTCTTCTTTTAGACACATCAATAGTAACAACACTCCAGATATTCCTTTCACAATCTACTTTCTTCTTTTAGACACATCAATAGTAACAACACTCCAGATATTCCTTTCAGAGTCTACTTTCTTATTTTAGACACATCAAAAATAACAACACTCCAGATATTCCTTTCACAGTCTACTTTTTTCTTTTAGACACAGCAGTAGTAACAACACTCCAGATATTCCTTTCACAGTCTACTTTCTTTTTTTAAGACAAGTCACTAGTAACAACACTCCAGATATTTTTATGTTTCTTTTTACAGCAGAAAATACTTATTCTTGATATAAAAATATTTGATCCAACAATGTTCCTATATCTGGGATTTATACATGAACATTTATTGTTGGCTCTTTGGCCTCAAATCAGTTCATGCATTACACCTATGTAGTAAACCTGTAAGAGTCCAGGTTTTGAATTTTTATAAAATTGTTATATTTTTACATTTATATTGATTTTATTGACATTACTGTTACATTTTCTTTTTAGTCAGATATCTGTACCAACAGTCAAAGGTTATATTGAGAACTGATATAATGATCTACATTTGACCAAATATCAAGTAAATATAAAGTATATATTTACTCTTAGTAAACAAGTGTATTATTAATCTTCGGTTGTTTTACTTTATACATAGAGTCTGGCTAAAATGCATTAAACAAGTAATATAATGAACACTGCTAAAAGCTGAGTGATAGTTAGTATTTTTTTAATTCACTTACAGAAAAGTAGGGAAAATATTTTCCAAACTTTGAAAATCAATCTGTGAGTTGATGAGTCTGAATTCAGGTGATTGGGTGAGATACAGCGGGATGTCATGGTTTTTGTTATTCAAGTTAGGACCAAAAACATTGAATTCCAACAAAAGGTTCTATACCATAACCTTATAAAATCACACTTTACTGCCAAAAAACACACCTCTAAATAGTGTTCAACCACAAAGTTGCAGAGTTTAGAGCAGTGGTTCCCAACCTTTTGTAGCCCTTGCACTCTTTAAGGAAGCCCTAGCACCTCTCCTCTTAAAAGTGTGCATTAGACATTTCCTCTTGGCGATATTTGAGGGGGAAAACAGACCTTGTATGGCCTCTTCTGTGCACCCCTTGGACCCTCATTTTGCACCCTCAGAGGGTGCCAACACCCCTGATTTTAGAGGGTTGGTAAGGCTGTGTTCCTCATACACAAATTTTAGAAGTGTTCATGTTCAGGAAAATACCATGCTTAGTCACTTTATAGTGGCAAATAAGCTTTATTGCTTAACCATCTCTATTACAGAACTCATGAAAACCATGGAGAAAACTGTTTTATATAGTTAAGAAACCAGATCTTGTATTGTGTAACATGTGAGGCAATGGCCTTGTTTAGTGATGGGGGTATGGGTTTTACTTCCTTATAGCATGGAAATTAATGCAAGTTCAGCAATGATGGTAAGCAATTCATATTCCACATATTACAAGGAGTTAATCTCTATTCAGAATATGAAAAAGTAATAACAAACTTTGTTTGGGAGTCAATACACCAAACATGTTTCCATGATTCACAGACTGGATGTTTAGTTGAATTTTAAAAAATATTTGTAACGATTTAATAATATGAGCTCTTTTAAAGGCTCCAAAATAAGTAAATTACTCAAATATTGTTTAAAATTAAGATAATCAATATAATAAATACATAGTGTTCATTCAAAAATATAGCTTTAAAACTACAAACAAATGTACTGTTAGGACTAACTTTAGAGCAATGCAAATATTATAAAGTGTATTAGGTTTCAGTATTGTAATTATGTTGAAAATTATAATGCATGAGTTGTCCATATATTTATAAAGTATCTTACATTGCACTAGCTTAACTTGCAGATGCACAGCTGATATTACACTATCTTATCTTTGTAATAAGCTACAGCAAATATGTTATTTTATCCATCAAGCATAAAGAACTAAGTTTATATTTCAGTAGATGTTAGGGAACCAAACTGTTAAAACATTATAATGTCAAAAATTTTTGAATTTCATAATAGGTTTTTCAACAGCTAAAGGAGAACTTGTAAGGTCCATTCTCTTTCCCAAGCCTGTACAGTACAAACTATACTCAGAGTTGTTCAAGTCGATGATAATTTTTCTTGTATTAGGTGGGTTGTATAGTTTATAGAAAAATTACCATAAAAAATCATGCTTATAAAATAACTAGTAGTTATGTTAGAGAGATATAAAGAAGGTAATTGTGAAAAAAAATTCTTTTTTCCAGAAATGGACATAAATATATCTTGTAATTTTCTGTTTTTGTGATGCCACCTTTTAGTAATTCTCTGTTGTTGTTTTTTTAAATAAAAAATAAAATAAGAGATTTTGAAAGAGTTATATTTCTTCTTTATTAAAGAAATATTAGCAGGTTATGAAACTATAATATAACATTTGAAATTAAATTATTCTTTACATTTTTCTCATGTTGTGCTTTCTGACTTAGTTGTATTTGTTTGTTCACCTGAGCAATACCTTTATAATTATAAATAATCATAATTTTAAAACATTTATTACAATAAAGTGGAATTTGAGTTTTCCTTAATTTTTGTATGTTTAATTTTTTTTGTGAATTATTTACTTATTGTTAAGACTAGTGCATAAGTGATATGTATATACTCAAAGCCTTTGTTGTCACGATTTTCACAATGATATACAGCCCATAGTTATGTTAACTTCTCACATTATGATAAACTACAGTAGAGTAAGACAACAGCCGATTTACACAATTTTTAAATTTTGCAAGTATAGAAGTAACTTTAGATCACATTTTTGAAGGACAATGTTTTAATTTACAACTGATAACTGTCTGATATTTAATACAAAAGTATAATTAATCAAAAATACTTATTTTTATTACATACTTTGGACATTTTGAATGACCAAAAATCATGATTTATAAGTTTTATTATACAAATATGAATATAATCCACTTGTGGTAAGGTTAGCTCATCCCTTAAATATAGGTATGGTTGATAACATTTTATCAGGGTGACTCCAAACTCTTGAAGTAAAATTTGTTTATTTTTATATGAACCTTGAATGTATAGTTGAGGCTGTTTAGTTTTAAAACAATTCTTATGTGGTAAGTGTTAAAGGAGAATCCATAAACAAGGTGAGTGTAAATTTAGAAGGACAATTTGGTTTTTACAATCATCAAACTTTTCACTATTTTAGCATACAGAATATTACTGGTAGCATTAAATGTTGCATTTCTGATATTCTGAACCATCAAAAGAAAAATAGTTAGCATCAGAAACTAAACCCAGTAACTCAAGCACTTTGAAAAGGTAGACTTTCCTTCAGTGGGGTAAATGACAAATGTTGCAATGTATGAATTATTCTATACATACCTAAGTTTTGATGTTATATACTTTCCTTTGTAAATAATGGTGTCATTGTGAATTACTGGATTTACAAATTAAAAACAAACTATATAATGGACTATTTATTGAACTAGAATTTAAAATGCACAAAGTGTTGGCTTACAGTATTCTATAAGATAAAATTTATTTTAGAGAAAATCTTCAGCACATTATATTTTTTACAGTCACAATGACTGAAAACAGATTATTACTCTGAACTAGGTATTCCAGCTATGGTGTACACAGCCATCATTTGGTCTCATCATGGGGTAAGTTATTTCAACCAATAAATGAAGAGTGGAAGTCAGCTGATCTAAGTATTTTATTCACTAACTCACTTAAAGTTGATTAAATACTCTAGAAACGTAAATGTCAAAAATTACTGTTTTATTTCTAAAATTCATTTCATGTTGGAACTTTTACATATACTATATTTCTATCTACACTGCAACTCAGGACTACTTATATAAATCAAGAACTACTTTATATACATCAAGGACTACTTATGAACATAGAAATGGTAAGTCGTAACAATCTACATCAAGGACTACTTATGAACATAGAAATGGTAAGTCATAACAATCTACATCAAGGACTAATTATATACATAGAAATGGTAAGTCATAACAATCTACATCAAGGATTAATTATATACACAGAAATGGTAAGTCATAACAATCTACATCAAGGACTAATTATATACATAGAAATGGTAAGTCATAACAATCTACATCAAGGACTAATTATATACATAGAAATGGTAAGTCATAACAATCCACATCAAGGACTAATTATATACATAGAAATGGTAAGTCATAACAATCTACATCACAGACAACTAAAAACATAGAAATGGTATGATAATGTTTGTCACTTTATTAATAAGATGATGTCCTGATGAATGTTTGACCTTCTTTGATTCAGTACATAACCACTTTTACAGGTACATGGAAAGCAGAGTGAGAGGTTTGTATGATAATGTTTGTCACTTTATTAATAAGATGATGTCCTGATGAATGTTTGACCTTTTTTGATTCTGCACAGAATCAGTTTCACAGTTACCTAGAGACCAGAATGAGAGGTTTGTTTGATAATGTTTGTCATTAGGTAGGACATGAGTTTGTTGGATATTAGATCATGTGATGTACCACTGTTGCTAAAACAATGTCATAATGAGATGGTTATTTGCTGACATTGCCACTGACTGATCTTAGAGCATAGATCACTTATCATTGTATGTCAAGCCTGTGTTCTTTTTTCACACCACTTGTAAGATGTACAAGATGAAGGTATTCCTCCTTTGAGTGTTTAAATAAGTTGTTGTTTAAATTGTGATCTAAAAACAAACAATCTATAATTTAAAATATACTAGCTCAAAGAATTTTCTATTTAGTTACTCATTAAAACTTTAAATTGGTGTCCCTATACTCAATTTATATCCACAATTATGCATAAACTGTGGAAAGGTTTAATCTATTTTACTTCAAAATGTTTCTTTTTATTTACAATAATAAGTTATTAATATTTAGTATTTGGGTGTTTGGAAATGGGCTATTATTTGTATACATAGTTTGCAAGATTGGTGTTATAAAAATTAAATTTGTTTTTTTCTTTCTGTTTTTTAATGCTAGGCTAGTGCAAAAAATGTAGTGATTCTTGTGGTTGATGTCGCCACTTTTGTTGTTCCTCCTCTTCTGCCTGCTGTCATGACAAGTATTAATGCCCATGGTCAGCGAAGACTCAGGACTCATGATATCTTCTGTCTAAATTCTGGCCATATCAATTTTGCAGGAGGTTTAGACGTTGTTTGTTTTGATAAGGTATAAAACAAGTTGTTAGATCACCAAAATAGACATAAAATTGCTGTTGATATAAAGAACGTAATGAAAATAATTCAGTTTGAGAAGTCAGTTGCTTATAAATATGTTAATGGTAATGTTTTCTCTCTGAAGTAAAGATGTCTTATTGTGTAGCAGCTGGTTTGATTTTTTGATATGGATCAGAGATTTATGTCACCACCACTATATGCAATTTTTGCCATCACACAAAGTATTATCTTTCTTTGATGTGAGGAAAATTGCACCATCTGTTGGTTGAAAGGCATTGTTAATACACCTCATCTGTCTAGGAAGTTTTTGGATGATTTTTCAAGCTTCTAGTACAAATCTTCATTGGATTTTATGGAGATATGCACTAGCAGTTTGAAACATCATCCAAAAACTTTCTTTCTAGGCAGATATGGCTCATTAACAATGTCTTTCAAATATACTCTTTTCTGTCTAAATCAGGCATGTGAAACTTCCTCCAGGGCATGGGCCAGATAGCAATTTTTAAATGTATTTGTGGGCCTCACCATATGAAGCAAAATCATAGTTAATTATCTATATTTTAATATTATATAAGTTTTTAAGCTCTTACTTTTATAAGGCAATAGTAAAAAAAAATCCTGAATTCCCCTAGTGTGAGAAATGTGAAATTTTTTCTCTATGCATCCCCTCTTTTCTAATTTATTCACCACCCCTCCAATAGCTATGAAATTTAATGTAAATTACTGACTGTAGTATTGTCATCACTGAAACAAAGCATAATTTTCCCAACCTTCAATCTTATTCAGTTAGAGCTGGAGACATCAAATAAAAAAGCAGACCCCTCTTGCCACACCCACCTATCGCATCCTCTTATTCAGTATTTTTTATTAGTTCTCTCTAATGTTTAATACTATATTATTTATAACCAATAAAAAGCCAAGTTTTTTATCTATCTTGTGGCATATTATATTATATTGTTTTTTGTACAGAGAATTGTTACTTTCTCTTTTAGTAGAAGCTTTGTTCCAATGGGAAAGATATTGACAATCTTGCCAATGTTAGGAAGCCAGAAAAATTGTGATAGTTATGGAACATTGTCTGCTTTTCGTATCTTGTATTCTATGTTCTTTGGTGCATCATTTAGGTAAATAAAAATTATTTAGTGCACTACTACCATTACTATAAAAAAGTAGGGTTAGGTGTCATCAACAGTAGTCAGCAAAAAAAAAGGATTGTTTGTTTTGAATTTCGTGCAAAGCTACATGAGGGCTATCTGCATTAGCCATCTCTAATTTAGCAGTGTAAGACTAGAGGGAAGGCAGCTAGTCATCACCACCCACTGCCAACTTTTGGGCTACTTTTTTACCAATGAATAGTGGGATTGACCATCACATTATAATGCCCCCACAGCTGAAAGGGCGAGCATGTTTGGTGGGATGGGAATTCGATTGCATGACTCTCAGATCATAAGTCGAGTGCCCTAACCACCTGGCTATGATGGGCCCGCAAAAAAACAAAACAAGGAAGGCCCAGGTAAGTACTTTATTTCTTTTTTTTTCATGTGTATTATAAAAGTAATTACAATGTAAAAATAGGAAACTCTTTAGGTTAGTTAAGGTTAGATTAGGTCAAATAAATAATAATTAAAAATTTGAGTTTGTGGGCAGCTTGCGAGCCAGATTAGATTATATTTTAGGAACTCCTCATGGACCGGATAAAACCAACTCATGGGCTGGATGCGGCTCACGAGCCATATGATGCACATGCCTTGTCTAAACCTTATGTAAAGCAGTATCTTTTTAGTTATTCTTACAAACATCAATAGTAAAATCAAAGAGTTTTATTTTTTCATATATAATTTTGTAGCTAAAAAGGGTTATACACAAACCAGAGTACATTTATTGATAATTATTTTAGTAGTTTCAAAATCACTTAATAAATAATGTTGGCATACTATAAGAAAACTGTTATTCTGTTAAAACATCAGTAAGCAATTGTAAACTAACAGATATACCTGTGTGTGTGTGTTTGTCTTTGCTCTATTGTTAAACCTAATGGATAAATATTGAATAAAAATGAAATTTCTCTCAGATTTAACACAGCATTTAATGAGTATTTTAACATTTAGCAAGATACACGTGATTTACAATTCATACTTACTTTCACAGACTGGAACACTAACTGAAGACAACCTTGATTTAGCTGGAATAATCCCAATCCAAGATGTCAGGTACTGTAGTCACAAGTAATTGTTTTGTCATCTTATAGTTTTTATTATTTTTAAAACAAAATAATGCAGTACATACCACCTTGTGAAATCTTTAATACAAAGTTTCTATACGACAGACACACAAAGTTTTATATTCAAGCACAAGAATGAAGTTTGTGTTCTTTGTATACTCTTTCATATGTGTAATTTAAGCTTTTTTCATTGGAGGACCTATGTGAACAACCAATTAGTGTATTACGCTAGAAAGTTCATTACATATAAAAGGTATTATATTCTCAGGTACACTGATAACTTTAGAAATAAGAGTAATAACACCAACAGTAAGAGGTTTGGCAGAATAAAAACTGAATATTTCACTTGAATGTGATGAAAAAACTGGATATAATTAGAATGTGAAAACTTTATTAAACAAACGGACATTACACTAAAGTGGAATAACCTAGAACCAAAAGTGTGGAGACAGCTTGAATGGATAATGAAGAAAACTTTATTATATATGTACAATATTTTGACAAGGTTATGTCATCATCAAGTACCCAATGATGACATAATCTTGTTGAAACATGGTACATTTATAATACGTTTTTCTTCATTACACATTCAAACTGTCACCAAACTTTTTATTTTCTAAAAAAAGCGAGTTCCTCATCATCAAATTTAAACCCAGAACTAAACGTGCACATGGCACCAAAGGGGAATAACACAGAATTATAGGTAACTATCGTAAAATAAATTTAGCCTGGTTTCAAATCTACTCTCTGTTGGCTAAACTATGTACAGTGAAAATGTGTGCTTGTGAAAAATTTCAGAAATATTGGGCTCTCTGAACTAGAAAGAAAAAAAGAAACTATTGAGTTAAGAATTATAAAAATCAGCTCTAAATTTAAGAACCTTTCATGTAATACAATGAGAATCATATTTAATAAGTAAGGAAAGGCCATTTATATGTACTAAGTTAGGCATAATTACATGTAATAAGAAAATAAAAGGCATTTTAAAAGTAGTAAGTTAGGAATCATTACATGTAATAAGAAAATAAAAGGTTTTTTAGAAGTAGTAAGTTAGGAATCATTACATGTAATAAGAAAATAAAAGGTTTTTTAGAAGTAGTAAGTTAGGAATCATTACATGTAATAAGAAAATAAAAGGTTAATACATTTAATCAGCAACAGGAAGCAAAATCTTGTGAGGAAGCTGGTGTTCTAAGTAAAGACAGTTAAAATTTGCTAAGAAATATTGGTCATCTGCAATATTACAGGCTTCCTCCTATATTTCACAGTTTGTTTGTGTTACAGGCTTCCTCAAATGTTTCACACTTTGTTTATATTACAGGATTCCTAACGTATTTCACAGTTTATTTTACAGGCTTCCTCACACTTTTCACACATTTGATAAGAAACAAGATTATGACACTTATGATATACAACATTGTTTATTGACAAAAAGGGGACATGGATAAACGTTTCGAAATTCTATCAGATTCCATCTTCAGTATCTAAAGCAAAATAAAATGAATTTACATAAGTCTATGGACAAAATATAAACAAATAAAAACACAAAACAGTAATCATGAGGAGAAACTACAGCAAGAAAACACAACGGAAAAAAAAAAGGGAAAATCAATAATACGAACATATTAAAATATCGTTATATTTAGCAACTTCACTTTGACAGGGT